GTTTTGCATTTAATTGGCTAAAAGCAAATTTGTTATAGAAATGTGATATTTGTTATTGATAACAAGTTTTATGAAACGGGGCTCGGGTTAATAAACCTTTCTCTTGCAGACGGCGACATCGAATTTGTTGGTGAGGATTACATGTACATGTAGAAAGCTAGAAAGTCACTTTGGTTTTTTTTTTATTTTTATTATATCATCTGTTAGCTCTCGTGTTCAAAATTTGGACTGTGGACGTTACTTTGACTTTTCTTTATAGCCGTTTCTTAAGCGCCTTACCAGTTACAACGTAACTGACAAAAGCGCTTAATATATTTTTACCACAGTCACTGGATGCAATTACGATTCTGGACTTTGGAGTGCACATTCTCCACTCCTCTATAAAAGGAGTAGTTCAGCGGGCCGCCTTGCTTCGGTCGCGTACAGGCCAATCCAATCACATTGACTTTCGCATCTTACTGAGTATCTGGGAGCAATGGAGATAAAATGCCTTGTTCAAGGATATAAGTACTGCACTGGAGGTCGAATCCAGGACCTTTACATTCTCAGTCTAATGACTAAACCACTTGACTTCAATGCCTATACCAAATATGTCTACTGGCCACTCTTAGAAGAAGAAAAAACGATAATTAAAAAAATGGCACTTGGCGTTATGTATTGGTTCTAAAAAAAAAGAAACATATTCTTCCTAAAATGCCTTTTATAGGTTCTGCAAGTTTCAGTAACAGTTTCCTAAACAACTAGGTTTCTCAGTCAGGCAAGGAATCTCCTAAGAACCCAGACACTTTTTTAAAATGCTCATTTTTTAACCGATTACGTAAAAAAAAGTGAAATTGATAAACATGGGCAAATAGTTGAGGGTCAGACAATTTTGTTTCTACATGCTTTAGTCTGGGATAAAATCTATATTTTTCTGTGCTTCATTTTTTTCTTACTCTGTTATAAAAGATACGAATATGACTTTAAAAATCATTTGATCTTTCTGTGTTGCGCATTGATACTGAGGAAAGCCGGTGGTGAATTTTCCTACGAACCATATTAAAAAGGTTCCACTAATCCTCTGGGGATACTGAATACGGAACAAGGTTTGGAACCATTTAACAAACTTAAAATGCAATTTGCCCTGAACTTGGGTTCGATATCCAAAGTTCAATTACATCATGCTTCTTGAAGTTAATTTCCGATTCATATGATATAGAAGAGTCTGATTACATGAATTGATACAACCTTGAGTTCTGTTCTCCGATTCATACATCTAACAACTATAGAAAGAGGGTAAGTTATTGTGAATAGATAATTTTCACTTTTTTATAGCTTTTTTTTACGACCACTCGATGAAGAATCAGTTTGATTTAAAGACTGTCTTTCCGTTGTTAGTTCATTCATTTCTCTCTCCCCCTTCTCACCTTCACCAATTCGCATCTCCTGCTCTCACCATCTTCATATTTAAGGTTGGTAGGTCTTTTTTTTTTATAGCATTTACCATAACCATATAAATATTGTTTTTGTCAAAGCTATTTAAATATGCAACTCGTTTTGTCATATTCCTGAACAATTCTTTTCTCATAAAACAATTTTAAATCGTATGCTTTAATGTTATAACTTCATTCCTGATATGTAATTTATTTTAATTGTGTTTTTATCATCATGATCATAACCTACTATATCTTTTTAAAGGATCGTTACGATATTACGCCATAAACCGCAACAAATAATTATAATAATTAAACAAAGAAATGGCAACTACACGCAACAAAGGTCCTACACATATTTACTTAGCTCTGTCTTACAAGATACAGACATGTGAAGCGTATTGTATATACTTTTTACGTCATTAAAAAACCCACCACGGTTTATACCGCTGCATAATCTAGTATACAAATAATGAATGGTTATGAGTTCAATAGTGCGAATATTTTCATGAGTTGAAAGATTAACATTTTATTCAACGAGGCGTCAGCCGAGTTGAATAAAATAAATGTTAATCTTTCAACGAATGAAAATATTCGCACCATTGAACGAATGAAAAACATTCATTATTTGTTTTATACAACATCGAAGAAGATCTAATAGAACGTTAATCAACAAATTATGCTTTACTCCTTATATTAAAGATAAATTCAAGTTGTATTCAAGCCTTCTCGATTACATTCAGATTGCCTTCGCGTCAGATACACGCAGGGATAGGCGCGCGCACGGCAGAGAGGTACGCAGTCTGCATATAACCAAAAATGCACGGCGCATATAACCAAAAATGCACGACCGTGCAATATACCATCTATTGAATATCATGTGACCAACAATCCTCCAATCAAATGACAGGGATCCACGTAGGTGTTGTATAACTTTAGGCTAATAGCTTTCAAATCTTAAAAGATAATTTCGATTTTCCTTTATATTGGTTATCAATGCCCTTTTTTTTTTATTCTAAGGCCTCAACACGATGGCATAAAAATTGCAAACGTCATGACAGCATTGACTAATAAGACATTTCAAATAATGTAAACATAAAGTATGATACAAAGAAAGATGTTTCATTGCTGATAGGATTCTGGTAAAGGAATCAGTGATAATATATACTAAAGAAAGAAGGAATTGGAATATGGACTCCGCTATTTATTCACGGTGAATGATATTGACTCATAATCATATTAATATTTGCACATCTTGTATGATTAACACGTCGGGGTTCGAGGTCAACTATTAACAATGCATGACCGTGACGTAGCTACAGAGGGCCCGTGCACGGCCGCGCCCCCATCAAGTGATGAAACAAAAACGAATACACAAGAATCCAATGACCGGGGTAATAGTTTGTAAAGCGCTTAGAGACATTAAATTTTGTATTAAGCGCTATATCAAAATTAAATATTATTATTATTATTAAAAAAGGGGAAGAGAAAGGAGAAGGGGGAAATCACAATGAAAGAAGACGTCTGGAAGACTGGACCACCTCCAACACCTCCCCCTCATCAGTAGCCTTGTCAGCTCTCGTTTCTCTTTCTGAGTAAGAGCGGTGCCCCCGATTGTTCCAGCACCCCCTCAATGGGTGGACATATGTTCCACTCCTACTTCAAAAGTGCACACGGTCACCACATGGAGCTCTATTATAGTTATTATACACACATAAAAGCCGGAATTTCAACGATTGATATGGCATGTAATGGTTATCATCACATATGGGTTTTGAAGAAAGTTTGAATTTTACAGGCATGGGTGAAGACTGCATAGAGAAAGGCTGGATAAATGAATAGGTTAAATGACAATTAAAAAATATGCAGAAATGAAGTAGATCTGCATTTGACAGAACTGTCTGTGCGCATGCAATGGATCGTAAAAGACCGGTTTACAAACATATATTAAAATTGAATGCATACTTTAACCTAAAAGCTTGTCCAAGGCTTGCCCGACATAGCAACAAGTAATCTATGCAGACTGGATTCCAGGTATTGTAGTTCACCATTAATAACAGATTAATGGTATAACTCCAGTGGCGGATCCAGTAATTTCGTACCGGGGGGGGGGGGGGGCACAAAATCTTATGGGGTGTTATAATGAAAAACGATGGAGCGAGGCGTCAGCGGCGAGGGAGCGGAGTGACCAAGCGGGGGTGGGTCTGGGAGGGGGTCAGAACCTCCTCCCTGAGTAGGTGCATTTTCAGGCACTTCCTGGAGTAATATGACGTAAAATTGCTTTCTCCTACCCCCTCAAAGAGTAGGGATCCAGGGGATCTGGCTTTTTGCTAAGGGGGGGGGGGGGGGGGTTGATCCAATGACGACACGGAGCATCGTCCACAAGCCGCGAAGCGGCAAGGCAATTATTTTTTGGGGTGCTATTTTGAACCCCCGTAAGTGATGTTTTCCTGGCATCTATATAGGCCTACTAACACAATGGAGACCATAAAAAGCAGTGCATGATAACGTCTTTTAAAATCAACTAACAGTTTAAGGGGGGTTCGACCCATGACGATGCGGAGCATCGTCCACGTCGAGACGCGAAGTCCGAGCCGGGTAGCGGCGAGGCGATTTTTGTGGGGCTATTTTGAACCCCCGTAAGTGATATTTTCCTGGCACCTATATACTAACACAATGGAGACCATAAAAAACAGTGCATGATAACGTCTTTTTAAATCACTTAAGTAATAGTTTAAGGGGGGTTCTACCCAATGACGATGCGGATACTGTGTGGGTCTGGACACATGATGGCGTTTTTCTATTCACATCACATTTTCACTTGGCAGTCCAAGGGGGGGGGGGGGGGGGGTTAAACCCCCTAACCCCTCCCCCATCCCCTCTCCCACAGATCCGCCACTGGGATCTTTTGCAAACTGGAAGCAATAAGCATTACATGTAGGCGATGGAAAAAAAGTGCTTGCGAAACGGATAGAAACTTCGCGGTCACAGGGATGACAGAAATTAATATGACAATCAAACCAGCAACCGTGGCAGGATTAATGGCGGGGACAATCTGCATGCTGAAAGAGCACTTAGAATAGGTATATCGGAAAATTAATTCAAGACTAAGTTATAAGTTATAAGTTAGAAGTTATAAAGGAGATAAAATCTTTGGTATTAGTCATGTTCGACTTAAAATTGCATCCCCCCGCCCCTTACCCGGTAAAAAAAACACGTTCTTATAATATCATCCCCCTTTCTTTCTTTTCCCTTCTCATTATTCTCCTTTTTCCCCTTTTCTCTCCTCCGTCTTTCCGCCTTTTCTCTCCTCTTTCTTTCCCTTTCCCCCTCCTTTTTCTCCTCTCCCCTTTTCTTTCCTCCCTCTTTTCTTCCTCTTTCTCTCTTCCCTTTTTTTCTTTTTCCTCTCCTTTTTCTTTCCCCCTCCTTTTTCTTTTTTTTTTGGCCGGGGGGGGGGGGGGGGGGAGCACGTGCCCCCTGTGCCCCCTGGATCCGCCACTGAACTCGTCACTATAGGTCCAGGAAAGAAACATCCATAAATTTGAATATGATAGTAAACCGGTATAACATTCTTTAAGCTGTACATGATGCTGGTGGTGCGTGTAACAGCTACTCAACTAGTTTCCTCTTCTACTAATTGCACGGGGTTCATTTCTTGCATATATTTTTTATATCAGTTTGCTTAGTTCATATTTGAGGTCAGACTGCACAATTTTCGAGTGATTATTTTGAAGTGTTTCTTTGGAAAATATATAACTCATATTTTGGGTGAGTATACTGACTCAGTAGTCATTCGAGTACTGAATCCATTTCTGTACAATGTACACTGCCTACGTGCACTTGAACCATGTGTAGTGTACTTGTGTATTAATATACCATCGTGTGTGTAAGAGACCATCCATTGCTTGTCAGGTCCAAGGTCAGATTGACACGCTTGAGAAGCCCAGTGGAAAATTCTTTCGGTGCTTCTCCCTCATATTGTATTACTGTTTGCAATTTAGTTTTATGATAATGCTTGCTGAACTAAATCACTTGAACATGGGTTTCCTCCTGTTCATTAAAGCTCCCCTTCGTTAATATGTGTTTCTGTAAAGTATGTTGGAAAGCAGATATCATATTATCAGGCTAGTTTCTGTACTGCAACATTGCATACAAAGTTAATAGAATGTGGGGATGCATCGCGCCTCTTTTGAAACACCATGTGTGAGTGGCGTTGTAAAAAGAGTGAATAGTAAACTGAACAGTGCAAATGATGCTTTCTGTTAAAATTGGGTATGGGCTTAATACTTAGGTTTAATACTTTGGATCTAGAAAAACAAATCTTGTTTGATCCATTTTTCCATTCTAATTCTTCACCTCCTCGAACAGATATAGGCAGTAAGCAGCATGAGCTCTGGGTTTTCATGTAAGGTCCCCGATGGCGTAGTCCAAACCTGCTACGAATATGAAGGAGTCATAATGCCGAACATAATGCCATCGGAGGCGATGAAACGCGTGAGGAAGCTAGCGTGCAGGCCCGATGACATGTTCATTGTGACCTATCCCAAGTCAGGTAGGTCCTACTTAAACTCTACCAATTAATCACATACAAATATAATGTGTGTTTAGCAAGATTGTATATAACCATCCCAACAAAGTATTACCTGGCATGAATATCCCGAGACAAACATTCTTGTGGAATATTCAGCATGGTGGCTGTAGCCCATTGTAAGTAGTAGAAATGGTTCTTCGGAACCCCTATACCTAGTTATAGACACTTAAAACACATCTCTAAGATGGATATACATTGTATAATGATTTATGGCTTTTTTTAAGATATTGCAAAGGCCGCCATTTTGAAAATAACCACTTTCTGGGATCCGATTTTCTTAGATTTGTATTATTTTGTTTCTGATGTTAAACATTACCAGAAACCGTTGAAAAACCCTTTGTTGCAATTTGTAGGGGTTGTGGTAATTTTTCCCTAAATTGACCCGACCTTATAACCCTAGGTGATCTCGGAACTGTACTATACCCCGAGAGGAAGTTAAGGATGGCTAGTAGAGTTAAAGGGCTTAGTGCAGTCTCGAGATTACCGAGGATCTATAGTTTTAACCGTGACCCGAAAATTCAACAGTTCTAAAAATAATCCTTGAAATAATAGTTGCAGTAAGCTTAGGGACTAACTTTGTTATATCTTTTAGAATCTAACTTGTGCTGTTGTCATGGGTATACGATCTGCAGTATAAGTTAATAACCGGTTATACAAAATTATGAGACAAAAGAATTTATCTAATACGTGGTTGAAGCAAAACATTATAATTATTTTTTTTGTATGATGTAAAAATTGAGAATGATTTGATTTCGATTAATACCGGAATACCACCCATTGGGTGGTATTCCGGTAGCGCGTACTAAGTTAGCGCGTGCTTAGTTAGTTCACACTTTTATGGAGTGCCTGTTGTGAACTAATTTACCCTGAACAGATTATTTTAATCCTTCAATGAAAAGTGTCCAAAAAATTAATTTTGCACTGAAATAGGAAGAAAAAGATAATATGAGTATACACTAAATTTCAACAAAGTCCTTGGTAGATTATCTTTGTCATGAATATTGAAGGAGGAAGATGAAACCTAGCATTCCATAGAAGTGCGAACTAAAATTCTTGTTTAGTCTGGACTTAGTCCCGGCTTAACTTAAGAGAATACCACCCAATATCATTTGAATTTCTTTTCAAGGTACAACTTGGGCAGAGCAGCTGGTTCTGTTGATCGAACGTGACGGGGACATCACTAAGTTAGAAGGCAAACATGTTACGCAGATGATCGTGTTCCTTGAGATTATAAATGAATATAACACATCGGTACGTATAATGAACGTTACACACGAGTCGTCATATGCCTGACGTAAACCTGCGTCAGCGACAGTTGCGGTCTTTGACGCACCATGTGACGGTAACATCTTAAAAAGCAAAATGCACAGTGCAAGTATTACGTTGAACAATTGGTGTATGGGCTAACTAAATTCACAGGCTTTATTGGCGCAAGTCATAACGCGATAAAATTGACGCATCGCCTGCGACGGGCATAGATGAGCCTGAGCGATGCATTACCAACGGACATTTGACAAATTGGATTAGCTGCAGAATAGACGACCATACATCAGTGTAATATATTAGGGTTTGGGTTAGGGTTAGGGTTACAAGCTATGAGCAACAGTTGCAAGGTTCATGTTGCATTCACTTTGTGCACACATATTCCCATAGCGTGTCAAGGACATTTCAAGTCGCTGACGCAATCTTACGTCAGTAAAATGGCGCCACGCTCGTGTGCAACATGCATTTGGGTTAGGGTTATTGAATTTTACTTTGATAAAAGGCTTATACATGTACCTCACTCTTACCACCAGTTTGACTTAAAAACTATGGAGAGCCATTTGTAGCCTTGAAATGAAATATATTCAAAAGCATTAATTTAATTATTTTAGACTTTTCATAAATTCCACATCAAGAACATAAAATCTCCCATGATAATAGAAAATATGAATGATTTGATTCAACATTTTATGCCTTTTAAAACAATTTTTACAAAATATTTTCAAAGGTGCTTACAGCTTTCCATAATTTTTAAGTCCAACTTAGAGTTAAGTTCAACTTAGGATCTTTGTGAAACACCCCCCTGATCGACTCCAAACCGACTCTTGCCCATTCGGGTAATGTATTTCTTGATCGGTCGAATTTAGAAATATTGTGCCCCCCTCTTTCACAAAATCCTGGATCCGCCCGCCCGTCTGTTTGGCGTCGCTGTCGTTGGCGTGACTGAGATATTATGATCAAATTCGATCTGGTTATCTGATATCATTTATGGACTTGTTTCTTTGCTAGGCGTCTAGACAAAATCAATTAATTCTTTTCAGTTAGGTAATTTAAAACTTTGATGTCACCATAAAACTATTAACTGCAGTGGATTCTCGTCTTGCTAAATTATCTCCGTTATCGCAGCCGACAGCTACAAACTTGCGGATCGATGAAGTTGAGATTATGACGTCACCAAGGACGATGAAGACTCACTGCGAAGATGCTTTCTTACCTCTCGATATTAGCAATGATGATCCAAAAGCAAAAGTGAGTCAGTACATATCTGAGTAATACCGTTAGGCGTATGTTTGATTTTAGTTCCAATACTTTTCTGCTATTCTACTACCACTATTACTGATATTATTACTGCTACTACTATTATTGCTACCTAATACTACTACTTAAACTACTACTAATACTATATACTACTAATACTAATAATACTTCTACCACTAGGCCTACAATTCAATTTAATTCAATTCGTTTTTATTCATTTCAATTTCCAACACAAACAATACAAAGAAATATACAATGATAAGCATTTGCAATATATAAGAAAATGAAATTAGGGAACTAAAAATAAGGCCAAATGGCCTTGCGGAGGCATAGTTCCCCAAACAGTAGTTAAGACCGTAATACAACTCACCAGCACCCCCTTCACTCTCATTATTACCAGCACCAGCACATCCCCATCACCATCACTAACATTTCGGCCATGATTACCTCAATCAATATCGCCTCTACCAGCACCATCACCAATGCTACCTGCAACGCCACCACCACACTACCAAATCTCCACCACCATCACTAACATCTCGGCCATGACTACCTAAATCAATATCGCCTCTACCAGCACCACCCCACCACCATCACGGCAACGCCACCATCACCAATGCTACCTGCAACGCCACCACCACACTACCACAACTACCGCCACCAAGACCACCATCATAATTACAACCACCACCACCACCACTATCACTTCCAGCACCACCATATCTATCACCAACGTTACCACAACCACAATCGCATCATCACCACCACCACCACCATGACCAATACAATCATCATGGTGACAACCACCATCACTACCATCACCACCACTGCATCATGACCACCAACAACTAATAGCATACTAATGTAAGCCCTTTGTATTTTATGGAAATTGAGTAATGTTACGGTTTTTGACAATATTCATCCATATGCATAACAAATTTACTCACAAATCTCAACAAAACACAGGTACTCTACATAGCCCGGAACCCGAAGGATACGGCCGTTTCCTACTATTACTTTTGTAACTTCCTTAAAGAGCTTCCCACTTACGAATCCTGGGATGTCTACTTTGAGGAATTTCTTGCTGGCAGAGGTAAGTTATTATTATCTTTATTATTATATTATCTATTGTTATCATTATTATCATTATTATAATAATAATTATTACCATTATGTTCATTATTAGTAATACCACTACTATTATTATCATAATTATCATCACTATTATTATTATTATCATCATTATTATTATCGAGTATTTGGCGTCAATAAATGCCTCGGACGGGAAAAGCGAACTTAATCGCTGTGACCTTCGAGTCTCTCTTCCCAAAATAACTGTATGGGGGTGTGCAAGTAAACCACTACACCGGGGTTCGCTGCTCTCCTTATTCGAATAATGCAGTGTGTTCTTAACGTACAAAGATGGAGACTCTCTACACGAGATCTCCATTTAACGTCTTATCCTAGAGGCAGAGTGCTTTCACTGTAACCTAGCCTCCGTGTATGAAACAGGGGAGGGCAACGTTAACTTAAGCAGGCTTAAGTCAACCGCCATGGTTGGATTCGAACATATGATCTTTGGTTCCTCAGTGGGAGTCGCTTTACCAACTGGCCAGCTCGGGTCCTCCAAATAATACTTTGATGAATTCCAGTTGAAATATTATTTCATGGCTAGATTTTGTTTAGTTCTGTTGAAGTGTCATTGTATAGTGGCTCATTCACTTGACTCTCACTCCAAAGGTTTAGGGTTCAAATCCCAGCCCGCCACTCACGTCCTTTAACAAGACTTTTATTCTCATTTGCCACTCTCCACTCATTTTTAAAAATGGGCAACTGGCAATTGCTGTGGTAATAATACATTGAAGGGCTCATTTGAAGAGCAGTATTAGTACTAACGTGGATACCCTGGTTTGATAAGACCTAACTGTTAGTAATTTTAGTAATAATAATTATCATTATTCTTTGGTGGAAGGAATGTACTGAACATTCTGAAAGTCTCAGTTTGAAGTTTCATGACATTTGTGTTACTTGTTTAACCTCAGCTCCTCAAGGATCGTGGTTTAATAACGTGTTGCCATGGTGGAAGAGAAGGAATCATCCAAACGTTCTCTTTCTCAAGTACGAGGATATGAAGAAGGTTAGTCGCCGGTGAATGGTAACTTGTGATATAACTGAGGTTGTGTACGCTGGTATTGCCCCACTGTCCTACTTGTAGCTACTTGCTCCCTCTATATATAAAACTTCCCCAATCCTGTTGGTTCCCCATGATCCTCTTTTTCTTATGTTAGTTGAGAGCTGAGTTAATGAGATAGCCACCTGTCAGTGACCTCGCTGTGTGGTTTAATCCCTTCTGGCCCATTAGTGGTGACGGTCTTTAATAGAGCCGTGTCCTTTTCCCTTTTGGTTAGGTTTACATTTGAATCACACGTTATCATGCCCGAAGAAATCACGATGTGAGATTTTGCTTTACTGCTTCAATATTGAATTGCATAAACTGTTAAAATCTGTCATGTATTTTTCATGGGGCTGTTTTGACCAGGCAGATGCACAGTTAAGGAATAAATGAAATAGATGATAGAAAAATAACTACAGATATGGACATACGGGACTTTGCTTTGTGTGTCAGTTCTTTTCGGCACCAATCATACCTATCCTTATTTTTTGCTTGTTTAATCCTCTCTGTTGGAATTATGCGTCAGATTTCCCATATTAGGTCCGTCGGATTCAATAAGGTTAAAACAAGAGTAAATACCAACCTCACACTGAGCAATAAGTCGTAAATATTTCTATTCTCAGGATCTTCCCAGTGCAGTGAGACAGATTGCTGAATTCATGGGAAAGTCCCTTTCAGATGACGTCATCGAAAAGATATCGAAAGCGTCGACGTTCAAGGCAATGAAGAAGAACCCTGCATCGAATCCTGATAGTCTAATACCGAAGGACAGACAGAAGAGTAAAGACTCCTTTATGCGAAAAGGTACTAGTACCGATGACAAGTTTTTTTGCAATCTCTCTGTCTCTCTGCCTCTTTCTCTGTCTCTCTCTGTCTCCGTCTCTAACTCTCTCTGTCTCCGTCTCTCACTCTCTCTTTATCTTCTTTTCTCTCTCTTCCTTTCTCCCTTTTTATCCCTTCTCTCATGCTCTCTCTCCCCACTCCTCTCTACCCCTCTACCTTTCTGTCTCTCTCAATATCTCCCTCTCCTATTTTCCATGTATCTCCTTCTCCAACTCCCCCTCCCCTCTCTCTTTCTTTGGGCGCCAGTTATATACACTCTGGTGGTCGTGCTCTTTCGAACCTTCTCCTTCAGCTCCACCCTCTGAGCTATCGCTCCTCTCTCCTCAAGCCCTCTCTCCGATCAGTCTGTCCACAGATAGTCATCTTTTCCTTCTGTGTAAGATGACAGGTATTACCAGAATTATTTCATCTTATGCAATACATTGGAATTAATCATTGAACTTTTATTCATTGACCTTACGTTTCGTACATAACACGCAATTATTTAACAGTTTTCTATATGAAAGGCGTAAATTAATACTTAATATAAACCCCAACAACCGCCCATAGTAAATAAGTATAGCGGTTCCGCGACTTTCTCTAAAATTTCAAAATATCTAGTCATCTACATTATTTGGACACAATATATATAAGCCCACTAGCAGCTACCATTTTCGGCGCTAATCGCATCTACCCATAAGTTGGCGCGAAAGTCATCTACCGGATAGAAATCCATTGATTAGTTTGGCCAATCCTAAAAGTATCAAATCCGACTTGAAGAAGAGAGAGAGAGAGAGAGAGAGAGAGAGAGAGGGGGGGGGGGGGGGCAAGTGGTGGTGAATATTTTAACTTACTGCTAAGAAAGCATGAATGCTTGTTGGTAAGCGACCAGAGGACCGACGGCTCTCCGAGGGACCTGGTAATGAGGATTAATGCCTTATCAAAGGGCATAACGCATGGACTTGGTCCAAGTTGGGCACCATAAAGTGAATGTGGCATCGTTACAAAATTATTGACGTATAGGCTTATTGCCGTAACAGCCTTCATTAGCGCTGGTAATGACGCAATCGAAATGACGTCACGTGCCCAATTGACCTTACGGCCATTGTAATTCACTTACTTACTGGTTTTCTTCTTTTTTTCTCTCACACGCTGTACATCCTTATCAGGCATCATCGGAGATTGGAAGAACTGTTTCACTGAGGAGCAGAACAAGAGATTTGATGAGCTGTACGAAAAGGAGCTGGCAGGCACCGGGCTTGAGTTAACCTTCGAGTAGTTTTGATGTATCATCTTCGAGTTATTATCCTGAAACTCATTTCTCTAAAGTCCATCGCACATTGTGACTACGACCCGATTTCGGAATAATTTGCGATACCATTTTAAATGAATATTCAAATATGTAAAATGTTGACGATCGAGGTTCTGAATTGTCATATCATAATGTACAAATTGATATTTTTTGGGGAAAATGCGCTTACTCTTGTAGAAGGGAAAGCCATATCGGCTCTGAATCGTTGTGACGTCAGACCAGTGGTGTCATAGTCTACGATTTGAAGCCGATTTGACATTTACTCAGACCATCAGGCTTACAACTCACGAAGTTTCAATTTCAATTATATATATACCATTATTGAGAACCTAAGTCAAGAAGATTATACTTGTTTAAAATTCCATATGTAATGTAATTGCGATTTATAAGAAAATCGTATTTCAGTCAAATCGTATGGTCAATATTATATAATGAATTCACTTTTCTCTATCAACCTTTGTCAGAGGGGCTGAAGTAAATATTGGATATTTGGAAAATAATGTTATATTACGTCTTATATAAATATAAAGAGATTCTACTCAGTAATTTTATACAATTGACTTGCCAATGTTTTTCCCTTTCTTTTTCCTTCTTTTCATTTTCATGCATTCCAATATAACGGTAACCATTTTTGCAACAGTGCTAAGCAAGTGTTAATGCAAGACAATTAACAAAAAGGCCAAATTGACAGCATGAATTTCTACACTCTACCCCTCTTTTCTTTTTATAATGCCTGGTTGCATTTCCTCTCTCCTTTAACAAAATAAATATTTCCCCTACTTACACATTTTTTCAAATACCGTAATCTCTCGTTTACCCTCCCTCTTGGTGTCTTCTTCTTCCTTCAGATGACCTTAGAATATTCATACCACTGCATAATAATATCTACAATTAATTTATTTTGAAGTGATAGTTTATATGAGTAGTGTATTTGGGTAATGGTACACTTTAAGATCCCCCAATCAACGTTGTTCTTATGAATATCAAACTTAATATTGTAAACTAATTTATAATGTAACTGCATGTTTAAGTAATGAATACAAATTTGATAACGACTATATGCTTCCTTTTTAAACATGCTCTAAACGTACTTTTTGAAAATGGACGAGTAGAAAGAATGACGATGAAGTTTTTACCTTGTATATTATGATTGTGTAAACAGGCAGTTGTATGAAAATAAATATATCAGGAAACTGTTATTCTTGGACTATCACTTTGATATAAAGACGGAGTGCAATTTTGTTGGGTGAAAATCAGCTGTTTTACACTCTAATGGCATAGCTACAGGGCGGGGGTGCGGGGGGGGGGGGCAGGTGTGAAAGCCTGCAACATTTAATGGCAAAACGAACTAAATCACAATGAAATAGACAGTATGCCTACATAGCTAGAGAATGGGAGAGAGGAAATCAATGTGAAAAGATAATGGATCATCTTACATCTGGTCTTGTCACCAATCATGGTCGTGACACCGTGAAACACAATGAAACACAAATACGCTCACACATCCACGCCCACACACCTTCGGTCACGTGGACATCTGTTCATTTGCAATACCCCGAAGCACACACAACAGTAATGCACCGTCACGCTCACATTACCCTAAAATACGCCAAAAGCACACGTCAAACTGCCTTCGGCCTCGTCAACAAATATCTTCATCTGTAATGCTCAGAAACACACACAAACATGCTTTACAATTTACACATTACGTCCACACGCACACATGCCCTCAAGTACACAAATGCACACGGTGAACCTTTAGCCTCGATCCCAGGCCTTCATTCCCGTAAACATGAACTTTAAGTTATGATTTTAGGACAATTACGCCCCGGAAAATTACCCCCGGAGAATTTCATCCCGAGGACAACTACCTCAAAGGAAAATTACCCCCCGGAAAATTGCCCCCCCCCCCGAGGACAACTACCACCGTGGACAATTATCCTCCGAGGACAATTACCCCACGAGGACAACTACCCCCGAGGACAATGTGTGCATACTCTCCACTCCCCGGGGAGCATTCCAGCCAGTCGCCATTTTACAAGCGCCACTTGCTAATCAAACCACATTAACTTTCGTATCCTACCGGGTACCCATTTAACACCTGGGTGGAGAGTGGCCACTAATCTGACATTTAACATCGTAAATGAACGAATTCACTCTTTATTTTTCGTGTGCAGATAGTTATCGGAAAAGTGTCAATTTGCAGGTTTTTAGGATTGTACAATTTTAATATTTTTCACAAAATTAAAACTGCTATTATACAATGTAAGCAAATGTCTTGACACGAATAGGCTTTTACATTCATATTTTATTCTCTGTTCGATTTCCCCTTTTTAGTTCAAATATAAAGTGAAATATTCACGATATTTCATATTGAAAAAAAAAATCACTACTCAAGCTTTCAGTTGATGTTGGCGGCATCGAACCTCGGACATCAAAGGTAACAACACACCTGTAGATTCTATTGTGCAACCTTAGAAAACGGCAACTGCCTGAAATAATTCGTTGCCAGTTAGGACTCCAGCTCTTAAAGCTTATTTGCCGTAGTTTACAGGAGGGATTAGACTGCCCTGCAAGGTCACAGGACAGGTGGTTACCTCATCAACTCAGCTCTAAGTTAACATAAGAAAAAGAGGATCATGGGGGACCAATGGTCACCGATTAGGCATTGTTTGTTGTATAGAGGGCGCAAGTAGCTACAAGTAGTGCAGTGGGCCTTTAAAACTCCTTGGTCCTAACCAACACGTACAATTTTTGTACCGAGGCACTTAACACATATTTGTGCATTGAAAATGGCCTGTCAAATTCCCATCAGTACCAGAACTGAAGATCACTTTTGATGTATTGCACAGTCATGTATACTTTGAACTCTTAGGTACTCTATTCGAATATTTACTCAATATTCTGCAAATATCACGTGGTTGGAGTTCATGCTCAGGCTCCTCAAACAATACATACATATCGGGCCTTTCTAAAACAGACAAATTATTATATTTTTGTCCTCGTGTATGCACATCAATTATCAATGAAACTTGTACATCGTATTAAGATATACACCATATTTGTTAATTGTTCTATACAATTATTTTAATGTGTTGTCAATGTAATGTTATGCCATGTACTTTTTACTCTGTAAATTTAACAATTTCCGCTTTTAGCTGCATGTCCGATGATTTTTATCTTAATAAACCAATACAATTATACACAAACTACAATACAATACATATACCAATGCTAGTCTAGTACACACATTATATAACCTACAAACACATACATCATCTTCCACACTCACGATCACAGACCAACCTGCATGCACGTAGATAATACACACATAGACAGGCCTTGAACTCAGATAATAAAAATACTAGAATTATCAGTTATAATGAACCAGTACTTTTATTGTATGTTTTTGTTCGAAGGAGGGGAGGGTGGGGGGGGGGGGGGTGAACAACGTATGGGTAATGTTTTTGAGAGGAGGCCCCTTCATCCCATACTAATTTATTATTCAGTTCATGCGACACTTGTAAGCGTACATGAAGAAAAAACATTTAAGAAAATCTGAAATCACTCAAATAACCTACGACCCAGATTTCTTTTCTTTTCAAAAGCCCAGTGCTATTCATGATGAAATATTTAAAAAATACATTTTTGCCTTGAGACAAGGCCAAAGTTCCAAAGGCCACATTCTCGATCTTGGCCTCTAAAAGATGATTTAATGTTCCATGTTACGTTGATTTATGTTAACCGTTATTCGTAATCTCGGCATAAAAGGTGTGCCACTGTGTCTTCTTACTCTCCTCTGGTTGCACACATTTTCATTCCATTTATCAATAGAAGGAAGGAGCAGGTGAGATATAATCATCAGTAATGTTATCGTTATCTTCTTTATCATCAGCATAGTCATGTTTGTCATCATACGTCTTTTTCTATAATTATCGCTTTGTATAAAACCTATTGAATGTGGAGTTGGTAGATCAGAAAGGAGCCGGATTTCATCCAGAACATGATTTTTTCTTTTTCTTCTCTTTCTTCTTCTTCCTATTCATTTTTTTTCTTCCTCTTATTGTCAATATTACTATTATTATGAGTATTAGTACTTTTGATAGTACTACGACTACTAGTAGTAATAGCAGTAGTAGTAATATAACAGTATCAGCAGTAGTAGTATTAGTATCATCCTCCTCCCCCTCCTCCTTCTCCTCCTCCTCCTCATCCTCATTATCATTACTCATTATCATATTTTGAGCGCACATCACCGTGTACATGCATGAATCGGCTGAACGCGGTAATACGTATAGAGCAATGACGTTTAGTGTGGTACGGTATGTCACTGAAACAGCTCCCGTAGGATTTTTGTGCCAAAGTTGATTTTTTGTTGTTGCATTTTTGGATTCATTGGGGTCCAAGCTATCAGATATTGATGGGGTTCAAATTTTCCCGAAGACACCAAATTTCCCTATTGCGCGTTATATATGTCATTTTGGCGCCCAATATGGACCCCCAGGAAATGAAGGAAGGGTCTGAAAATTTGAACCCCATCATTTTGGGCCAATTGGGACCCTTTCGAAGCCAAAACATCAACAAAATCCTACGGGATTACATACCATACCGCACTAGTTAGGAACTTCAATTGCCCTATTAGAATATGCGCATCTTAGAATGGCATGTCGCATAATCTGTACATGATTTTTAAATGGAACGCAAAAGGATATTGAAATCCTTTTCAATTGATTTTTTACAAACTCTTGACGATTGTGTTTATGCGATTTATAAACCTAGACATTCTGTTAAATGTACATGTATTATGACATCACACTGATCGTTTTATCTGTATAAACCACACAAAAATGGCAGTGTGTGAGCGGATATGTGCATTTCAAACCATGCTTATGTGCCAGGTGACCACTGACTTAAAGGGATTGGGAAACTTTGTCTCGGATTCTGAAACAAAACCTGGATTTAGCTAATGCTGCAATGATAATTATAAACCTTTAGGTCAGTCAAGAACCCCATGAATTTGACAAGTCGGTCGCCTGTCCGATTATCAAGATAGCCCCATTTTTGATTGGAAATCGAAATCAAATTTTGCGTGTTCCTAACGGTTTTCACAACACTACAGTCTAATGGGGGAAAACGACTATGGTAAAACCGGTCACTCAAAGATTTTTACTTTTTTGTGGCACTTCTTGATTATTTTGGAGCGCAATTTTTGTTAACGGCTTCAATATTACACCCTCTCACAGACACTGATGACACGTAGGGCCGTGCATCTCAGATTTAACATTGTTAAACGATGCCTTTAAGAAATTAGTGACATTCTATTTTGCACGTATCAATTGTAGTCTTATACGGCTATAAAAAGCTTTTTAATTAAGAAATTAGTGACATTCTATTTTGCACGTATCAATTGTAGTCTTATACGGCTATAAAGCTTTTTATAGCCGCATCGTCAAAATCTACAGAATGTGATTTTGTCTTCTTCTTCTCTTTCTCCTTAGTCAAAATCTATAAAATGATTATTAGATATTATCACAAGCTAACTATAGTATTCATTTTGCCTGACGACACCAACAATAATATTTCGAAGAGAAATAGGCTAGGTAAGATAATTAAAGTTTTAAAATAAACACTGAACCTAATATATAGGTCAATAAGATAGAAAGGGCAAAGAAATGACTTGCAGATTACACGAGATGACTTGCATGATATGGTAATGCAAACATTGGTACATACATGGACTTTGCATTCGTTGTCTGGATATGTTAATCACTGTAAGATTGTTATATACAGACATACTGAATGATGGTAACAGAAATGGTCCTGGTAGAAAGGAGATAGGTGTGAACTTTCGACGTAAAAAATAGCGCATGACGTGAACTAAACCCCAGCCAGTTATCTGATAGGGTATTATTAGTTCGTGTTATTATTACCACCATATTCCCGGTGTTTGATTGATTTGATTGATTGATTGAAAGCTTTTGTTCATATTTCATGCAAAATATGCAACGTTTAATGCATTTTACAAAACATTATCATATCTTTAAGTGATATTGAAGTAAATAATTCTGAATAATAGTAATTAATGACAAGAAAGAATGTAAATCATTGAATCAGATGAAAAGTGAACCTAATTAAAAACTGGGCTTGTAGAGTGTAGGTTCACTGAATTAACTACTTATACTTAGAGGGGGTGTGTCCCTTTTGCAGGCTAAAAATATAAACGTGTGTGAATCCTATGGTGAACAAGAGATAATACCAATTATATACCTCACTAAAGAAATCCAGTCATCTGATTGGTCGAAATTGCAGTCATGGTTTTAGCCATTTCCGTAAATAAACGAAAAATACCACGCCCATGTAATAGTTCGAGGGTAAAATTCAAGTTACCGGGAATAGTTCAGTCTTGCTTAAAAACTGGTTTGAGCGATCGTGGATACCATACATTGTGGCCCGAATTTACAAAGGAGGTTTGTCGACAAACCGAGGTTTATGTGCGTCATATGACGCGTTTCGACGCGTTTTTACAAACCTTGGTTTGTGAAAAACAAAAGGAGGTTTGTCGAAACAAAAGGAGGTTTGTCGACAAACCTCCTTTGTGAATTCGGGCCTGTGTGTACAGTGCGAAGAATCGGTCGCTAGACAGCAAAAACACCAAAAGGGTAGGCCCTACGTTTTATTATTAGCCGGTATTGAAGGTATTGAAGATTGTATAATGCAAGTGTTTGAATTCATTTGGTGGATGAAAAGTTGAATTCTACGCCGTTTTATGCGTCATTGCAGCGCTGAATTTGGTGTGTTTGTCGCTAATTTCTGACAAATTTAGATAGCTTTCCTGATGGTATTTCATGCAAAATTTCTGTTATATTTCTGTTAAGCACTGATTCGTGTCCTTACCTTTGACTTGTTTCTTGTCTGTTATAGTCATTTAATAGGTGAATTACTTGAATTTTGAGCACATTTCAGTCACACAAAAAATCCAGCCCGTTCATAATCCCACACACGTATTTGTATATACCGTGTGCCCTTACACTGTCAGCTGTCTCGATAGCGTAAACAAACAAACTTGATTACCATGATTGGTAAGTCTCACATGTACTCTATGACCCTTTTCGGTATATAAAAGTATTAATGACTGCTTTAATTGTCGAAACATAGTTGTTTCTCAAAGCAGTCATTAATACTATACTATAAACTCCCCTAAAGGATTAGAACTGGTAACTGCCTTTATGTGGATTTATATCGACCGTTAGGAATTTTCGCAACGCGTATCGAAAATTATGCATAGAAAATAGCCTGATGTACCGTATAGTCGTACGTTTTGTGCTGCGCAAAGATTCAATCAGCTTAACTGTTTGTCACCTAGTTAAATATTGAAAAGTTCTATTCTAAGCGTTACGGAATGACATTTCTATAGAGTTCTCAATTTAAAAAAAGAAATATTACAGACATGATACAACCATTTTGAAAAAGTACCCTTTTTCTTGAAAATGGCCCAGAATAGACGTTTTTGAACCCCTTAATGCGGCACCGCGCGGACCGCGTCCAATCTAAAAAAGCACTCCTTTATATGCGTTTTCTTGATCACGCATACTTACAGTGTTTATATTTGACTGAGACCCCCGGGGCCTTGGACAAGACATATCTACATTTGCCACTCTCCATCCAGGTGTAAATAGGTTTATAAATGCTTGAGCGCACGCTATAACGGATGTAATGAAGTCGAAACCCCACGAGCATCACTGTTTGTTAGATAAGAAAGCCATGTAATTCATTTTCATGATTATGAATAACCTTGACTGGAAAAATCCAACACCCAGATGATTCGTTAGGTAATTTTGTTTATACACTTTCCCTTTCTCGATTCTTTATGTATTTATGCAGATACAGGCAGCAACATGAGTGCAGGTTTTTCATCAAAGGTTCCTGATTGCGTGGTCCATACATGCTACGAGTACGAAGGCGTCATTATGCCTCACTTCATGCCCTTGTCGGTGCTGAAGCGCGTCAGGAAATTCGAATGTCGACCCGATGACATGTTCATCGTGACGTATCCGAAGTCAGGTAGACATATATATTTCTTGTGATCCTAAGAATGGAAGATTTTTTTAAAAATAATTGATTATTATTTTGTCCAGAGGACATGCACAATTTAACAAGGTTATTGAAACTTGGTGTGCAAATATAAATCATTCACTCGGACAATCAGTAGAGGCCTAGCTCAAAAAATCACTGGCGGTCACAGAATACATTATAAGATGGATAGAAGAATCCCTGCAATCTGATTGGTCCATTACCGTGTAGTTATTTTTACTGGATGCACGCGATATCGGGAATTCATTTTTTTTTTGATAATTTTTTTTCTTCTTCTATAATTTTTTTTATTTATTTTTTATCATTATAATAATTTTTTTTGTTGTTGTTGATAATTCTTATAATTTTTGTAATTCATTTTTTTTTTTTTCTATAATTTTCCCCTTTTTTTCTTCTTTTTATTTTTGAGTATACAGTGCGACCCAGAAAAAACGAAACCGAGAATTATCGATGTTTTATCATAACTTAATCACAAATTATAATTAAAAGCAATTTGAAGGTAGGAAACCAAAAATCATTTGGCGGGCGGTATCTGAATTTCGAATAAAAATTCACATTTCTTGAAATTTCAGTTTCTGCCCTTTCATATGACACCTCAATCAGGAAAAATAAGCAAGGAATAACAAAGTTCTGTTTGTTTAAAGTGATGCTTGCATTTCGATAATTTGATTAAAAAAAAAAAAAAAAAAAAAAAAAAAAAAAAAAAAAAAAAAAAAAAAAAAATCGTTTTCACTGGCTGCCTGCCGTAGCAACAAGCAATCTTTCGTCTATGTCTGATCGTCAACGGAACGGAGTTAAGTCTTTTGTCAATTCCGTTTGTTGCTACGCCAGGCAGCCAATGAAAACGAATTCGTTTAATCAAATTATGGAAATGCAAGCATCACTTTAAACAAACAGAACTTTGTTATTCCTGCCTCATTTTTTCCTGACGGAGGTTTCATATGAAAGAGCAGAAACTGAACTTTTTAGAAATGTGAATTAATTTCATGTTTGGGTTTTATGGAAACGTTGGAGTTCAATTTAATTTAATTATTTTATATGCCAAATACTATATATTTTCCAACATATGCAAAAATAGCGTACTCTTACTAAATTCTTTTAAATGCATGTTAAGGTATTATCGTTCTCTTAAAGGTAAAGACCAGTATTGGAAACGCCCCAATTTCAAAAAATGAAATGGAAGCTCTCATTACCAATCATGTGAAAGAATATGTTTTGACTAATACATGATGATAACAAATTTGCCGGGAAACCGCCTACTAATTCATATATTTGGTAAATTTGTTTCTCTCATGGTCTGTGAGAGATATAGGGTAGTCCCATATACATCTTTCTGTGTATAGTGCTTGTAACTTTACGAAGAATGGGCCAAATTTCTTATCATTTTGATGATTCCAGAACCTTGCAGATGCTAGATGCTAGATGATCAACCTTTTCTGATCGATTCCACAACGTTTCTTTCACAATGCAATCTCATGACCATAACTGGTATTTACCTTTAAACAATACATTCATGTTAAAAATAACAAATTTGTATCATTTGATGATAGGTGGAAAAACATTGTGTTGCTTTAAGATAAAAAATTATCTTGTATAATCAGCTATATTCTTGTTGTTGATTCAATTGGTTATATTATGTATGTATATTTATATATGTTTTGTTATGTTTTGTAAAGCCGAAAGCAATATTGAATAAAGATGATTTTATTAAAGAAAAAAAAAGAGTATATTTGAGGGCCACAGAAGAGATAGATATTATATATTGAAAATATCCCATCTACTCTCCTAACGGGCAGCAGGGATTAGAGGATGAGGAAGAGGGAGAGGGAGAGGGAGTTGGACCAGGCTTCTTCCGTTATCCTCCTTTCCCCGTACCCCTTTTCTCTCTCTCTTTTCTTGCTTTTTCTTTTGTTTTTCTGTTCACCACTCGATTGAGGGCACATGCCCTCCGCCCGCTTGTGGCTACGCCGATAGGCGGGGTCGTTTCGGCCAACTGTATCTGCCGATTGATAAGACAATTTCTATTTTCATACACAAGGCACAACGTGGCTGGAGCAGCTGAGTCTGTTAATTAATCACGACGGTGATACCAGTAAATTGGACGGCACCCATATTATGACTGTAGTTCCATTCCTTGAGATCGTGGAAAACCCCCTAGACGCATCGGTAAGTACAATCAATTTAATGATACAGTCAAACCTGCTTTAGTGACCACCTGTCCACAAAGACCACCTGTCTACAAAGGCCACATTTGTTGTTTACCTTGAAAATGGTTTCTCATTGAATCATGTACTAAAGGAACCTGTCTACAAAGACCACCTGTCTACAAAGGCCACTTTTTGTGTTTCCCTTAGGCAGTCGCTATAGACAGGTTTGACTGTTTTAAATAATAATAACTGGGTATTATTTTAATACCCAGATAATTAGCCACATCAGTATCAATACTGCGGGTCCTGCAGTTAGTATTACCACAGCAATTGCCAGGTACCCATTGACGGAGAGTGGCAAATGTTGATAAATGTCTCGCCGCAGGACATTAGTGCCGGGCTTGGATTGAGAGTCAAGAGCATGAACCATTTTACCATCGCCTCGTCACACATTTTTTTTATTTATTAATTTATTTATTTCTAATCTTTTGACAGGGTAGCCTATTCACCAACAAGTAGTGGTCTTCCATGGGGCCCTGAATAAACATGAACATATTTACATCGTTTATAACGTTTATACAAAACAGTTAAAAAAAATAATACTCATTTGCAAAATAAACATATCATTAACCTAGTAAACAGTAATGTCAATAGGAAAATATTGATTAAGTCGCAATTATGTGAATAAGTCATGTTAATATTACAGAACATGCACGTAATTTAATTCAATGTTTCCGTTGTTGTTATAAAATAAGAGCATAAGAGCATAAGTTCCAGCATGTTAATTCACAATTGAAATGTGATTATTACTTGCTGTTTTTCTCATCGACTATTTCATATGGAAATATTTGATCATTTCCGTACTCACTGTTTTCATGTTGACTGTTATCATATTAATTGAATTGATAATGACTATTCTTATATTGTGACGTCATTTTAGTCACCGCCAGTAATCGACAGGGCTGAAAAGATGGCGTCACCAAGGATACTCAAGTCTCACTGCCACTCGCCTTTCCTACCCGAGGATATCAGCACCGATGATCCGAAAGCTAAGGTAAGTTTGTGGTTACACTTTTTGCCGAGGACCTGGCTATTTCGCTGATTCTCAATATACTTCGATGGGACGTGATTTCGTATGTCACAAACTATTTTACAGCTTCAACAAACAGAGATTTTTCTCCATTGCAACCGCCGCGTAAGTCACTTTAGAGATGTTCGTGAAGTAGGCAACTATACACAGGCGCGTACGCAGGATGGGGGGGGGGGGGTTTAACCCCCTTTTGGTATTTTTTATGAGTGTATTTTGGAGGACCCCCCCCCCTTAATAAAAGAAATAAAAAAATAAATAATAAAACAAAATTACCAAAGGGGGGGGGGGGGGGTTTCCTCCAAAATACACACCTAAAAAAGTTGACCTTACCCCTCCGCTCAGCGGCTGGCTGAGTCGTTGCGAAATTTTCGGCCCGATTTAAAAATGTTACCCCCCCCCCCCCCCCCCTTGAAAAAATCCTGCGCACGCGCCTGACTATACATAACACTTAGCCAACGGGTATTACGCAACCGTGCGTACCAGAGCCTTCTATACACATAGTTTAGCCAACTTGGTTTCACTGGGTCACAGCATGACGTATATTCTTTATTTTTGTGCTTGCCCAACAAAGCAGAAGTCGCTATATTGTGTCCAACTCAAACCCGGTTGGTCAAACTTTTAGATTTGTACGCCGACAGCTTTGACTGCAACGTGTGACGTAATTTTAAGACACTGCGCATGCGTTACGTCGTTTTAGTCGGCGATCGAGAATGCGTCAACCTTGATTTTCCTAAATCTAGTACGGTACTGCGGTACTAGTATATGCGGCGTGCGCATAAAATATACAGTTCCTCAGGTAGACAAAGGAACATCCCTTCCCTGCTATTATGTAAAAATGTGTTGAACAGGTGTCACATGCATATTCACCTGTTCTACACATTTTTACATAATAGCAGTGAAGGATGTTCTACCACAGCAATTGTTGAGGGTAGAATGAGGAACTGTTTATTTTGTCCTCTTTCTTTGTCCGTCATATTCATAGTGTTACTTCCTGCATTCATGTATATCGTCGAGTGCAATCTAAGAGATTTCTAATTGTAGTCAACATGGGAAGTTGAGTACGTTGACACGCATGATCAGTCGGCGTTCGTCGTGTTCTCGTTCGTCGTGTTCTCGTCCAAGAGTGGACGAGAACACGACGAACGCCGACTGATCATGCGTGTCAAAGTACTCAACTGCCCATGTTGACTACAATAATAAATCTTGGATTGCACCCGACGATAAACATGCAGAACATCCCTTCACTGCTATTATGTAAAAATGTGTAGAACAGGTGAATATGCATGTGACACCTGTTCTACACATTTGTACATAATAGCAGGGAAGGGATCGATGTTCCTTTGTCTACCTGAGGAACTGTATATATTATGCGCACGCGGCATAGTAGTACAGTACTAGATTTAGGAAAATCAAGGTTGACGCATTCTCGATCGCCGACTGAGACGACGTGACGCATGCGCAGTGCCTTAAAATGACGTCACACGTTGCAGTCAAAGCTGTCGACGTGCAAATCTAAAAGTCCCTATTGATGGCTCTGGTGCGTACGTCCCTGTGCTGCCCTCTATATATCCACGCTTGAGCAACTTTAATACCTTAGTGACATTAACGAGACCTAATTTGTCACAGGCCACCATCTCCGGACGTGTCAGATATAGAATAAAATCGGAGGCTGGAATATTAATAAGTAGAGGTGTATTCATTTTTTGAAAGGCTATACTAGTTGGGTTAGAGTGGCCCTTTAAACTCGCGCGTCGTCCAGGCTACTGGTTTAAAAAGACAGAGCATGCGCACGAGGTTCAGCACGAAATCATTCAAGCAACGGGCTGTAGCAGGCTGGGCAGGGAAAACTCAACATTTTGGGCTGGAATGATCCCCACTTCCTGGGTTCTTCACTAGATGATGATCTATAATGTATGTAATTCGCATTCTGACTACTTAGATAAAATTATTCGTAACAGGTGCATGTAATAATTTGCACCGAGTCACTTCACAATGACACATTATGGATAAAAATGTGGTTTTAATAAGAAAATGGCGATTGAATTGATCTGCAGGTGGTTTACGTAGCCCGGAACCCAAAGGATACGGCTGTTTCCTACTACCATTTCTGTGAATACGTTCCGACCCTGCCAACCTATGGTTCTTGGGATATGTTCTTTGAAGAGTTTCTAGCTAACAGGGGTAAGTCGTCATTTAGAATGTTATACTCAAGAAGGGATCATTTCTGGCAAATGGAAACTGAACGTGATCGCAGATACTTTCGAAAAATCAGCCGAAGACTATTTCAAAAGCTTTGTCAGTTACTTATTGAAATGTTTGATCGGACTAATGAGGTATTACGTAATCCGAACGTTGTTTCTATAGGATATTATTATTAAGAATTTAGCGTCACCTGTGCCTGGGACGTAAAAAAGCGATGCGAAAACCAACATCGCAGCTAGGGAAGCAGCAAGCTCCGGGACACGTCTTATTTTTTTCGTACCACGGCGAGCCCAGATTCCCGTATGAATTCATTTTCATACATAACAAGCTACGAAAGCTTGCAAAGAGGTCACAAACAATTCGACTTTGATTATTTATTGCTTGTCTCACTATTTATAAATGCAAACAAACTAAATAAACTGAGATTCGAACCCTCACGGCAACTCCAAAGTTCTATTAGTAACACGCTGTCCTTACCGATTGAGCTGACGATGGGTTGATGACGTATTGATTTGTATAATTACCATCACCCTATTAACCACCCTATCGGATTCCACGTGCGCATGCGCTGGTTTCCTTTGCGAGTGCGCATGCGCAGGTTTACCTCGCGAGCTCAATCTGGACTCGCCGTGGTACGAAAAAATAAGACGCCTCCGCGAAGAAGTTTGTATATCCATCGCGAACTATGTGTTTAGATAACATTCCTCTTCGTTTAAATTAGTTAAGTTTTATTGACTAATTATTGTGATGTTTTCCTTGTTGACGTGCTGCCTCCTCTTCAGATTTCCAATTTGATTTTAATTGTTGATGTAATGATTTTCCATGCGGTAGTGGATTAAATGTAACACTATTAAAAATAGACCTCTACTACTTATACTGTCTAGTACGCGCACGACCAGTATTAGTCTGTAAATCAAGACCCCTTTTAAAAAAAAGCCCCAATCTGTGCCGCATAAAAAAATAACGCCTCCGGGACCTTACTGTTACAGTTGACTTGAGATGGCGCTATTTAGAGGGGATTTTGCGTTAATGCTGTTAGTACAGTATGGCATTAAAATACGGGTACACTGAAAATACATGCTTCAAACAGAATTATGATGGCACTAATTATTGAAATTGCTCTCGAGAGGATTTCTTGAAAGTCATTGTGATCGCATTCTTTTTTACCTCAGCTCTTCAAGGATCTTGGTTTGAAAACGTGTTGCCATGGTGGAAGAGAAGAAATCATCCAAACGTTCTCTTTCTCAAGTACGAAGATATGAAGAAGGTGAGTTGTATCTGTCATCAACCGAAATGATGTAATTTAGAGGAATTCATGTTTTTATACCTGTTATCCTTTTCTGAAACATCTTGTCTTTCAGTTCTCGCCTAAGACGGGAGTATCGGTTTAAATTGGCAGTTCGTTTTACTTCCAAAACTTTATAAACGCCAATTTAGATAACATCACCTGAAATATGATATTTTCATTTGACTTTCAATTTACTTAAAAAAATATGAGAAAATTGTCGAACATTTTCAAGCAAAACCAAAATAGAGGGACAGGAGTACATACATAGATTTCAACCTTGTACCATAAATGGGTCCTGACAATTAAAAACTGGACTCTCTTTCAAGGACATCTAACTACAAAAAACAATATCTTCTATGATAAAAACTAATGATCATAATAAACCGTTCTTCTATAGCGCATTATGATATAACGTCCGGTTCCAAACAAGTTTGGATATTACGACCCTTCCTTTAGCTCTGGCAGCCGTAATCAGCAAGGAGTGCATTTCAAGGAATAAATCCCATCATGAAACCATTTAACACCTGGGTTGAGAGTGGCAAATGTGCATTAGTTGTATCCCCGGACCAGTAGCTCCTTCATCGATAAGCCCCCTTAGAATATTATCCCCAAAAGATGGTAGATATCTTCGGGTAGACGTACTAGATTATATTCTTCGTTGAATCATTTCTTTTAGATATTTACAAAAAAAAAGAACAAGTAAAACAATAACAACAATAATACTCATACTAATCATGATAATACTTATACTTATAATGATGATGATGGTGATAATAATAATTACTTTTTATCACTACTACTATTACTACTACTACTACTACTACTACTACAACTACTACTACTGGTACTACTACTACTACTACTACTTCTACTACTACTTCTACTTCTCCTACAAGTACCAATGATTGTAATGACACTGAAAATTATAATGATAATATTGATAATAATATTGCTGCTAATGATAATAACAAAATTACCAGACAACAATGTACTTATTTTTATTTCGCCTTTTCTGATAGATACAAAGCGCTTTCTATAATAGAAACAACAACAATGTCTGTAACTTGATAAAATATTAACACAAATATATCATAAATAACGTAATGTAATGATAAGAGTCACGTCGAAAAAAGGAATTTCAATGGTGAATTTGTTTTGATAAATACAATTAAATAAAATAATTCTCAATTCTTCATTCGACTTTTAGGACCTACAAGGAGCTGTACGACAGATTGCTGAATTCATGGGAAAGTCCCTTTCAGATGACGTCATCGAGAAAATCGCGAAAGCTTCGACGTTTAAGGCAATGAAGAAGAACCCTTCATCGAATCCCGACACTCTGCTGAAGAAGGGCAAACAGGAGTCCGGACTCGAACAATCTAGTAAACCCTCATTCATGAGAAAAGGTACTAGATAATAACATAATTGATACTGTATTGGCAAAAGACACAACGAATCGACAATGACCCCTTCCCCTTCCGCTGGAATAAATGAGAGTGGATCCTTTTAGAGGAAAGGTATATTAAGAAGATCACACAAATAATGTAAGAAAATGCATTGGCAAAAGGAAAAACAAAATGATCCTCCCCATCCTACTGGAGTAAATGAGAGTGGACTCTCTTTCAAAATAGCAACAAAACAAAAAACAAAAAACAAAAAAAATCGCCTCGCCGCTTTGCGGCTCGTGGGCGATGCTCTGCATCGCCATTGGGTTAACCCCCCCCCCTTAGCAAAAAAGCTAGATTCACCCCTGGACTTTGATATTAATACAAAATATATTCTTAAATTGATTGTCTGTATTCCCTCTTTCCAATTTCAGCTAGCATTATTCAACTCTCTTACCCATTCTCTCTGTATTCCTTTCATTTTCCTTCTCTCTCTCTCTCTAAATACATCTTCCCCCTTCTTCCCACTTTATATTATATTCCCACAATATATTTTTAAATATTTTCTGTTGAATTGTTGTATCTATTTTATATAATATTTGTGTGTCATATTCATACCTATTTGGCATTATTTATTCATTCATTTCTTTCTATTTTTTTTATTTTCATCGAATGTAAGCGCTCTGGGCCTTATGGGAAAAGCGCGGTATAAGTAATAGTAATAATAATAATAATAATAATAATAATAATAATAATAATCTTTCTTTCTTTCTATTTTCTTTTTATCATCCTACATTCATTTCCTCACAAGGTGTTGTTGGAGACTGGAAGAATTATTTCACTGACGAACAGAACAAGCGATTTGACGAGGTGTACGATAAGGAAATGGCTGGCTCTGGACTTGTATTCGAGTTTTAGGAGTTGCTTATAGGCCGTCTTTGACCGTTGCCATCGTTAACCGGAGTCAATATTGATTTGATTCCAAATGACATTAAAATTGTGATACACATTTGATTTGATTTGATTTGATTTATAGGTTTCTGCATCTTTTTTTTTTTTTTTTTATCATACATTTTCATGAACATAATATGGTTTGATACAATATATAATTTTATACAGATAATAAACGAAATTAAACAAATATATTGAATGCGTAATTAACATACATCAGATGCACCTACAACTCTAAAAAAAAGAGGGCAGTAGACAGTGTAAATGTTCTTATTAACAGGAACTAATCTCTAGTTTCTATGATTCTTTATATTTCTAACTATTTGCCAAAGATTTATGCTGCATCGTCATTTGATAATTTATAGGAACATGATAGTTTTTTGTTGTTGTTGTTGTGTGTGTGTGCATCCATTTTTGCTGTAAAATGGTTGTTACTTGCTGTTTCCCATGGTGGTGATTTAAAAAAGGATGAAGTTGAGGGCAGAATTTAATCATGGACCTACTACGTAGTAGGTCCATGATTCAATGCTTGCAACCCATTGTAATAATACCAAGTGCTGTGAGTTTTCTTGTATAAAAACTTGTTTATACTTCATTGGCTTGATTACACATGCTATCGTTTCATCATTATCGTGCACAACATTTAAACTACGTGGAATGTCAAGTTTTATATCGATTGTTTCTTTTCTTCATTTGTTTTACCTAGTGCGTGTATAAATATCTTTAAGAACAAATTGTGCATTTAGAGTTACATACTCATTATAATGTTAATCACTGCCAAAATGTGTGATTTGTACAATCATTGCAATAAATCAAGTCGCAGAAATAATTTATGTGATTGTGATTTTGGAATGACTGATACTTAGCAGTATGCTGTAAATTGATTAGTTTTTGGTTGTTAATTTTAAAAGAAAAGGATAGAATTTTATTTAATTCTTGTAAAAGTTGTTTAAAGTGTCAAGTCAGATTGTTAGTGTATTAAATTAGTCGTTAAAAACAAATGCTAAATAATGACAAACTATTGATAAACAGTAGGGCCTATAATATTTACGCTTTCTTTTTAGAAATGGAATTCTACTCAACAGATCAGTTATGTGCAAAATGGCAATTCATAATGGAACAACCTGCCCGATGAAACTAGTGGCCCGTGACCCCTGTACTCAACACTGTTGGCGAGTTAGTTTATGGTCAACTTCTTTTATGAGAAAAACCCGAGCAAACCTTTCCATATGAAAATCTTTTCGGGGGTATCCGAGATCAAACAATAATGGCGATTGTAAATCCTGTATAATGTGCTGGGTGTTTGCATTAAGTTTGACTCAAACTAGTTCAATTTAAAGGTAATTATAACTACGGAAGCAGCGAGATTCGGGACCATACTGCTACAGCCGACCTGAGATGGCGCTTAAAAGATTAAGCGTGTCTATGTTTGTATGTCTTTTTATCATTGCGCAGTGAAAGAAAATTGAAATAGTTAAATGAAATAAACTCCTAAACATCACATTAAATTGTTAATGTGTTTCTTGTTAAAGTGGCTCATGAGGTGCGATGCGTGATAGCGGTGTGATATTGGTTTGATGATGCTACTGAAATATTAAAGGAGGGGCATGGAATATCCAGAGAATGGAAGAGAACAATATGAACACAAACAAAGAGAGAGAGAGAGAGAGAGAGAGAGAGAGAGATAGAGAGTTAGATTATTTGTGTATGTGTGTGTTTGTATGTATGCGTGTGTGTGGGCGCGGGGGTCTGTGTTTGTGTGTGAGAGAGATTGGGAAGTAGGGCTATCTATACGGAAAGAAGAAAAAGAAAGCGAAATGAAGATAAGAACAAAAAAGAGAGAGGGAGATTGTGAGAGAGAGAGAGAGAGACATAGAAATGGTGGATTAGGGCGACGGATAGGAAAATGAGAACAAAAAAGCGAAATAAAGACAAATAAGGGAATGTATACACGAAAAGCGAGAGAGAAAGAGAGAACGACCACAATGAAGGTAAAAATAGAAAAGAAAAAAGAGTAACAATGACAAAAAATAAGTACAAGCAAAACTAGACGAACAAACAAACAAACAAACAAAAAACAGGTCAAACTATCTTGTCGATCTGATCAGGTACACGATTCTAAGAAAGAATGGTAGTATCCTGATAACATACAAAAAAATATGACCAAAAATACGCAATTGGGCAGTTATGGGTGGGTCATCGTTGACTCCAAGGAGGATGGGATTTGTGGTGACATCGGCCACAAGATGAGGAGAACCTAATTGTTTACTCATTATCATGATCCTATCTGTTTGGATTAAAATAAATAAAGTTTAAATTTGAATTTGAATTTGAGTTTGAATTTGAATTTGAATTTGTTCAGCATTTAAAGTACAGGTAATGTCAAGTTTTATAACGAGTATTTTTCACCTTCATTTGCTCTAATTAGTGCATTGATGAATATCGTAAAGTGACTTAGTAACATTGATGAAGGTTGAATATTTTTTTTGTAAATTTGTTATCAAATGTTACTTATTATCTTCCTTTTAATGTACTAACCCTCTAACATGCAAAAAATCCTGAAAAAATTCTCAAACCACAAAGATATTAATGGTTTCCCAAGAAGGCGACACTGGTCAACACCCTCTAACAGTGATCAACAGTAAATTTTCCCAACCATTTTTGAATTTTCCCAACCGTTTTTCAATGAGAAAAAGACATGAAACAGGCAATAAAAAAAAATCTGGAATAGTATGTAGAGCCAATTTTTTGCTTTGTGGCAATTTACATTCACCTAAAATGTAATTCAATTGTAATAATATGGTTGGGAGAATAAAGGAATCGATCAGATCAGTTTTTCCCAATTTGTATCATTAATAATCGTCCGTTTTCACTCAAATTTTCCGATTATCTTTAATTGTACATCGAGTATTGAAGTCACTACCTTAGCACCTCTTAACAATGTGACAAAGTCTCTTTAATGGAAAATGTTGTGCATTTGAAGTTACATTAACATTATAATGTTTATCACTGTCGTAGACAGGTTCGTACACCTGGGGGGATGACTGGGCTGCCAACGCTAGTGAGGGAGCGAAGCGACCGAGCGGGGGGAGGGTGTGGGAGGGGGGTGTCCCCCCTCCCACGGTAGGGAGCTTTTGCAATTTTGAACTTGAAATCGTGCAATCTGATGCATACTTAATGAGGTAAAATAACACACACAAGCGTGCACGCACACACACACATACTCACACAAACACAAACACACACACACCCCATACTCACACACACACACACACACACACACACACACACACACACACACATAATACGCCTTGAATGGACAGACGTACATCGACAAGATCTACACACCGTGGCATACGAATACAGAATGGACTGACACATAGTATTGCATATTGAACCACACTACGTATTTATTTATCTTTGTGAATTTTGCTGTTACACCTCTTCAGAAAAAAAAAACCAATGTCAACTGTGTACACGCAGGTACAGTCTTTGTTGTCTTGATAGGGGTATGTGGTTATGAATGAAAACAGCCTCTGTGGCCATTTGTGAATAGAACACATAAACAACAAACAAATAACGATTAAACTTTGAACAACATGTCTGTTCATTATAAAGCATAATGAATACGTACAAACTATGCTTTTTTTTACCTCAAAGAAACAGGCATAGTATCCATAGATGGATATTGGCTGGCGGCTCATTAACATACAGATACAAAAAACATAAACAGTATCACTATGATCCATGGAGTAACAATACTGCTTTGTAAGTTTGTGAAGAATTTGGAACCATAACGGCACTGCATCGTTTCAAATTAGGGCATTATTTACTTCTATTTGATCTCAGTCTTATAATAGTAATAATAATAATAATAATAATAATAATAATAATAATAATAATAATAATAATGATAATAATAATAATAATAATAATAATAATAATAATACAAATAAAAAAATAATAATAATTCAAATAATAATGCTAATACTAATAGGTTCCTTTTATCTCGCATTTCAAGACAGGGTAAATTCACACTGCGCTTTACATGAAACAAACTTCTTTAAACATTTCAAACTTATGTCTTCATGCATCAATCAACATACTTTAAATGAATACAAAACAAAGTGCATCTTAAATAAAACAAAAATAAATAAATAGTTAACAATACAGAAACGATGTAGCTGCTGCAAGCTTAACAACAAACTAATGTATACCAGTCAGTCCTGATATCAGTATTAGTGTAACAATAGTCATATAGTGGGAGCATGAAGTTGAACAATTCATGATTATACATAATTATATATGTTTATTTGAATAATACTTGTTATAAAGATAGTAGTATGGTACTCTCTGTCACGAATTACTATGTATACTGTTGTATCACATTCATTTTCTATTCTGTTTTAGAATTGGCTTTCACCGTGTGAATGCGGCTAACAATAAACACAATTACAATAATGATGAGGATTATTATTATCATCATCATAATTATTATTATTATTAATATTATAATTGTTATCATTATTATTATTACTATTATTATCATCATTATGACTTATTAAGTAAGCAAATATCATTCCCCAAAACCTGGGGGGGGGGGGATGATTGTACATGCATCCCCCTCATCCCCCCCGTTGTCTACGCCCCTGGTCGAAGTGCGTGATTTGTACATATCAAGCTCTATCAGACATTGTTTGCTGAACGTCCTGCCACAAAGGTTGTTGACAAAATTTTAGAAACGGCCTTTGATCTTATCTCCTAAAATGTCTCTTTATGTGTAAGTTGTGTGTACCATTGTAAACGGTTTGGTTGATTCGTACTCTAATGACGGAGGCACTCCATTATTACCAAGGTTTTAAAAACATATATAAGAAGGCGGCCGAGAAAGGGTAAGTTTTTCTACACTGTAGATAAGTGGGGTCAAAATGTACCCAATATGAGCTACAAAGGGGACATATTATGTTTGTTGGGTAAAACATTGCCCTATATGGGGTAAATGTACCAAAAAAGCCAGTGCACGGTTGCAGTCTTAGCATGAGCAGATAAAGGCCATTGCAGACCAAATTGTGAAATACACGGAGACAAAATACTGGATGAGTGCT